CAAAAAAAAAAAAGGGTAAGTGGATATTGTATTAGTATGTGATACCTTTAAGTTTTTTTGTAGATAAAATGAATATTATTTATCTACATTAGAATCATTGTTAAGGACCAGAAAAAGTGATTTTAAATTTTAGAGAGATAAAAATAATATATATATATATATATATATATATATATATAATATATATAGGGCCAAATGACTCCTAAATATGATTCTTTAGGGTATTGTGGGAGTAATCTCGCTAAAGTGTGAAAAATATAATATAAATATTGACAATATAAAATTAAGGCTAAAACTCTATTTTGGTCTTTTATAATCTTTTTTTGTTTTAATGTAGTCTCATTTTTATTTTTGGTCTCAATTTGGTCCTAAATTAATTAATTGGTTTCAATTTAGTCCCAAATTAATTAATTGGTTTCAATGTGGGACTTTCGTCCAAATTATTTAAACGTAGTTAACTTTTGGGTACGTGGATGCCACGTAGATGCATACATGGATGCCACGTGGATGACATTTTTTTTTAAAACACCTGGACCCAGAACGACCCGTTCTGAAACCAACAGGTCGTTCTGGTTGCACTCTTCGTGTGTTAATTTTGCAACTGAAACAGGTCGTTCCAGATGCGAAAATTAACACACCACCAGTGCAGCAGAACGAGTCGTTCTGAATTCAGAACGGCCCGTTCCAAAACTGAGAATAGGATATTCTTTGCTTAATTGTGTTTTTGATCGCTCAAGTATTATAATTATGCAATTTTGATCCCAAAGATTTTAATCGAGTAATTTCAGTCCTTAAAAAATTTTAGTTGTGTAATTTTAGTTAAATCTCATTCAAAAAGAGGTATAATTGAGACTTAACAGATTCTCAAGTCCAATAACCTTGAATCACCAGCCAATAATAATAACTCTCAAGAGAAGGATCCTACAAAACTCTTAAAGGTTAGTAGAAGAAAAGGAACTCTCACCAACTCTAAAGTACTTAATTCTCTTCAGACTACTTCTCTAAGTTTTCTTAAGAATGAACTTACGAAACTTAAATCTTAAAGAAAATGTTATACGGTGTTTAAAAATGACATTTTTTTTATTTGTATTCTTTTTTATTTGAATCCCAACAATTAAAAAAATGATGAATTGAAAAAAAATATTATGTTGCAAAAATGATTTTTTTTATTTGTATCCTTTTTCTATTTGAATCCCAACAATTAAAAAATGATGAGTTGAAAAAAATAGTGTTAATCTTGAAATAAATTTAAGTTTTAGTGGACATTCATTCGATATTGATTGTCTTATTTTTTTCTTCTAAATTTGAAGGTTAGTACTAAATTATATTAAAACATTGATGATTGATTATATTGAAAAACATATAATATTTATATAATGTTATTAACAATACTTATAATTTTTTGTGTGTAAAAAAACAATACTAATAATTTTTTCATTATTACAAGATTTTCTTAAAATTAAAATTTTAAATTCTATTTGATATTAAAAACCCAAGTTAATGAATAAATTACCATATAGTGAGATATTAAAATTAATTAATTGTAAAACTTTAATTAATAATTTCTACTTTAGAAAGTTAGAATAATAAAATAAAAATTAATAAATTATATTGTTATAACTGAAATATAAAATCGCATAAGAACTAAAAAATTCTATACACAAACAATCCTGAGGTCACGCGTAGGGATAAATAATAGATATTGCAGTCATTTTCTAGAAACCTCGTCGAATACATATACAACGAATTTAACTTATTCTTTGTTTGACTTAAAATTTTGGAAATTTTATATTAGAATTCTATGAAATTAAATCTTATATAGTTACATTTCAATTCTAAAAAGTCTCCAATATCATAATTATAATTCCAAGTTTCAATTTCAGTTTCATACCCAATTTCCCCCGCCAAACAAGAAACAAACTCAAAGTATAATAAAATTCATTGTAAGAATATGATATGATTTCTAAAATCTAAAGTAAACTTATTAAAATTAACTTCATTCAGATAAATTATTAGAACAAGGTAGGTGTTAAAGATTGGCATTCCTAATTACAAGAGAATATAATAGATTAACATTGTATTGGTATATTTTTATACGAGAATAAAAACAATTTTTTAATTATCAAATTAAAATAAAAATTACGACATGAAAAAGACATATAATTACCATATTAAAGTTCAACAACTCAAAGAAACATGGTACTGTTATTCTATTCTATAAAGTCATCAAGCTTTGCAAACATAATAAACAAAGCGAAAAGTACTAGAAAGAGAAAAGTCGTTAGGGGATTGGCGTGACGTTATTGTATGAGGAAAGAGCGGTGTGTGCATTACCATGAACGACGGCGATGACGTTTTTCAAAGTCCTTATGTTTTAGTTTTTGCTTTTTCCTTCTTTCTTTAACTGCCTTAGTGCCTTAGTATTAGGGATGGATAACAAAGATCAAAGAACTCACACACATATTCAAGGTGCTTTATCTTTTTCTTTAAACACGTCTATCTTTTTTTCTTTTCTACATTTTATTGTCGTTTTTTTCTTTTCTTGGTTTTGTTGGTTTGATGACTTTCTTGTTTGTCTAGTTGAAAAGCCTATGTCTTTCTTGGTTTACTATTGTTCTTTTTAAGAGGATTTTTATGGTGCTTTCTTGAATTTCAGAATACGAATGTCATGGAGTTCATGCATGTCACAAGTGTGGATGGCCTTTTCCTAATCCACACCCGAGTTCAAAACAAAGGCGTGCTCACAAGAAGATCTGTGGAACCATTCAAGGTTACAATTACAAACCGTTAGTTTCAGAGCGACAAAGCCATTCCAATGCTTCAGATGATGATGAACATGTTTCTGATGATGATCCTCACGCACAAGGTAAACCCCCTACTATGTTTCACATTTACAAGAGAGACAATATTTGAAGATTAGTGCATTACGAAAATATAGGTTTGCCTATCTGATGGCCTTTTACGGGTTTGGTTGTGTCAGGTCCAAACTCCTTGGACACTGGGATTAATAGGAAAGTTAATGGTGGAACTGCAGAGAATTTAACTAGATCAGGTGATGAGGTGTTTCTAGATGCAATTGCAAACTTTTCAGATGGTGGACCAAGTCCAGGAAGTAAAGAACCTCTGCGAGATAGCTTGGACTCGGCTACTGAAGTGAAAATAGTCGATATAAAATATCAAGACATTTTAGGGTCTTCTGATTTTAATGGTAAGCTGCAAGGTAAACTAAATTAAAGCACAGTTTTAGATTTATAATTGTGAAGATTGCTCATGTTGAGAAACAAGTATCCATTATGCTAGAGAAATTAGAATAATGAACTTTATACTTGAAATTTTATTTTAAATTGACAGGTAATTGAATGCATATTTTCATTTTTAGTGTTTATGCTTTATGTTTGCTGCTTAAGGTTTGTTTTTCTCTGTTGGTCTATCTTCTGATAATATGTTTCCCAACTGCAGATGTAAATCAGTTAATTGTCAAATTAACAAATGATAGCCAAATGCAAGATCCTAGTATTTTGCAAAGGGAAATGGTCAAGGATGGACACTTGCTGGAGTTGCAAGGTCAACTATCAGGCTCTCATGTGGTTCCACTATCAAATTCCATCACAGATTTGAGGACTGTTATGCATAGTGATGATTTTTTTGGTTTGTCGAGTGACTCAAATCCCAGCAAAGGTGAAGCGGCACCAAATATGTTGCCAGAAAATAAGATATATGCTGCTGAAAATGTGAGGCATTGCAGTTTGGCATCTGTTGAAAAGGAGACTAATTTGGAAGAACATGATGAGATTAAATCAGACTCTGACATGATTGACATTGTATTCTTTTCCGATAATACTGTTGGTGAAGCAATTGAGGGAATGATTAAAATAGCAGTTACTGATGTGGTTAACTCGGAATGTCAAATGACTAGTGGAGCTTTTAATCTGGAAGAAAAGAACAATGTTGAGCTCCTTTCTGTGATACCGCAAGAGGAAGTTTCCCTTGAAGTAAATTCTATTTTAAGCACAAACACCGCCACAGATGGTGTTCAAGTAGAGTCTGCACACAAGATACAGTTTGTTACTTCTGGTGATGCCAAGTCGTTGCAAGAAATGAGAGAAGGAAATGTTAACATGTTTACAACTCCTTTATGTGATGATAAAGCTGATGTGTCACATCCCCAAAATGAGTGTGCAGAATTTAAAGATCATGAAAGAGTGTTAACACGAAATTCTTTAAGCCTACCCTCATCTGAAGCATGGAAGCCAAAGCAAGATGAGTTGAAGGGTTCTGACGATGAGGAACAATATTTTCTTATCAACCAAAGTCAATTGAGTGAAAAAAGAGAGGTCCTCCCTCCAGATGGGCGTGTTTTTGATAGAATCATGAAGGAGCAGGAAAGCCGTGGGCTTGTGGCTGAAGAAATGCATGCTGAAGAGAGCATTGAAGTTTCTTCTGTCAAGTTCGTGACTGAAAGTGACAAAGGATCAGATGAAACTGGAGCCTCTATGAATGCTCTGAAAACTGAGATGAATGAGAATTACATGATTCATTTTTCTGAAGAAAGGAGATCAGATGGTGTAGGTAAAAATTCACAGATTACTTTACCAGAATTTAGCTTCATGGCCGCATCAAAAGAGAATTCCAGTGATACAACCATTGGTGGTTCAACCACTGAAACAACCAGTGTAATCAGCATGAAGGAAATAACTTTCACAGATGTAGATGGCAAGTGCAGAGGAGCTAATGTTGATACCGGAATCAGAAAAAAAACTCTTCAACTCAGAAACCTGCATTTGGAAGTCAAGCCATCAAGTGGTGTTTATAAAATTGATGGTGTGGTTGAAATGGGTAAATTTGAAAATTGTGATATAACTGATGGTCAGTACATGGAAAGGTCCATTGTGAAAGATTCTTCATTGCCTAATCCTGTTGACAGTAATTTTGAATGTCCCATTCTTTCAGAAGTTGTAATGGATAGACCTGCAAGGACGCCAAAAGGTATTGAATGTACAAATAGAGGTCCACAATCAGGCGTTCAGGAAGACATCAGAGACGATGAAATCAATAGCAGTTGCAGAATAAACAAAGAATGCAATGGATTCATTAGTACATCTGCTGATTCACATCAAAAACAAGATGCAGAATTAGTGAAGGCTGTAGAAGACCTTGGTAGGAATTATTCATCACTTAATTCTTTAAATGTTGAGCCTTCTACTCAATGTGTTTCTGTTGTTGAAGACACTCAAGGAGAGAATGGCAGGGAAATGTCTGGAATTACTTTTGTGCCTGTTCAAGATCAAAATGGTAATAACAAGGTTCAACTACCTTCATCTACAATTTACACTTCGATTGATTATGGTATCCAGTGTGACAGTTTAGAAGGAAACCGGGGCTCAGTTTCAGGTATATACATTCATTCAGCTAATATCTATTACCTTGCATTATAAAGCTAAAATAAGTTGAAACAATTTTTTTTGGAGGGAACATTCATTTAACATCTTTAGGCTCTATCTAACAATTACCTCCATGCAAATAGATTTTGTACAAGGTGTTATTGATGTGGAAGGTTTACCATCAACTGATTTGGTGAGGTCAAAAGAAGCAGGGAAATCCAACTTGAAGGACCCTAAGGCTGCATCTAAGAAACAACAATTTGAAACATCAGAAATGTTTGAACCGCCATCTTTCATGACTTTGGTTGAACCCGGACATGCGATTGCTGCATCTGAAATCCACAACGGACTGAACCAACATCCCAGTTCTACCTCTTCGGAGGCTGGTTGGTTTCCCACTCTAACTCAAGTTACTAACGAGTCTCAAGGGAGAAAGAGGAATGAAGAAATAATAACTAAGATATCAAACTACAGAACCAGTAAACAGCACACACCTCCACAGAGTCCATTGGGTGAGGCTGCCCATAGCAACAAGCCTGAGTCTCCAAAATTGGAGGAAAATTCAATGATTCATAAAAATGGTGAGTCACCTGCTGCTAAAGGCGTTAAAGGAGAGGGTGGAAAAGGTTGGAACTCCCCAGCAAGATACGCTGCTAACAAGAAGAGAAAAAATAAGAAAGTCAAGAGCAAACAAAATTGGATACCATTTGTGTGCTGCTCATCTGTGGATTCTCCACGAAGATAGAAGATTGATAGCTGTGTGGTGATAACATCGTGTTGTTCTCCACTCTGATTCTGGTTTTTGACTTTGACATACTGTTTGTGCTTATTATCTTTATCTGTTCTTTAGTTAATTTGTTGTAGTTTTGGTACATATTTTTGCTAATCCTAGCCATCCCAAGTGGCTGGTTGTATGTTTGGAGGATCTTCGATTATTATTTTTCATGTGACGTCTCATTTCATTCTGATGTATAAATTTTGTAACAAGGTTTTATTTGAAGGCTACTTGGGAAGTGAAAATATACATTTGATGCTAGTGCTACTGATTTGTTTGTTACATATCAAGGAAAAGTAATTTGATTATACTTCATATACTACTATTTTGCCCACTTTGTTGATTTTTAAAGAACAAAATTTACCGAAATGCCAATTTTAAAATAAGAGGGATCTGCTTATAACATCTTTTTTAGCCTACCATCGATATAGAAATGGAAATTTTTATAATAACAGCAAGTGATGCATAAATAACAAAAATCCTTTTTTATTCTCTTACTTTTTTTCCCACTTTAATTTGCTTTATAAATACTAGAGGAAGAAAAGGCATTTCGTACTTCGCTAAAAAGAGAATAATAAATTTGTGTCAATTTGTGCAGTTATAATAAGATTATATGTGTTTAGAAAATTGTTTGCATCATTGCATAGGAAAACTTCTACTTTCCAAAATATAAAATTAGGAACAAAAAATGTGTTTTGTTTTTTAAAGGACGTTTGAAGAGTTGTGAATTACAAACTAAATACACATATGTGTTTAATGTGGACATCAAATAAAATAAATTCTTTTATTATTAGTATAGAAATATAGATATTAATATTTATAATTAATTTTTTTCATTGATTTAAAATTTACAAACGTTTCGTTTCTCTAGTGGAAGATGGATTTGAGTTAAATTTTGATAAAAAGGTTAAAATATTTTTTTAATTCTTATAGTTTTATTTACTTTATTTTTTAATCTCATAGTTTAAATAATTTTTTTGGTTCTTATATTCTTTGATCATTTTTAATAGTTTAGTACTTTAGTGATATAAATAAAAAAAATAAGTTACGAAAATTTCTGAAGATAAAATTAATGGGGATAATGTTTGATTCTTATATTATAAATTCCACTGTTAATTCTTGAAGGTGAAAATATTTTTATTATATTTTTGTGATACATGGTTTTATTGTTAGTTAATAATCATCTTTATATTTTAAATTTAAAATTATTTTAATTTAGTTTCTATATTAAGTTTTTATATTAAGATTTTAATCTAGAGATGTGAGGAAACGGTGCATCAATAAATAAGAGTAGGGATTGGGTTGAAATTAACAAAGAAAAAATGTCGAATGCAGTCACTCACAGTCACAGTCAATTTGTGTTGGTGCTGCAGAACCCCAATTTCACGGGGAGCAAAAGCAGCAGCAACAGCTTCTTCCTAAAACCCTTTGCGAAATTCACATCCCTCACATCTCAAATTTGCCACGCTTCTTTCTACCCGTTACCATCATTCGCTGACACAGTTTCAGACTCAAAGCACACAACCCTTCTCGTTGAAACTTACCATCTCCACGACAGCCTCAGAACCTTACTTGCAAAGATTGAGGAGGAAGATTCGCATCCTCTCCACATACTCTCCGAAGATGGAAATTGGTCCAAAGACCATTTTTGGGCCGTTGTCAGGTTCCTTAAAAATGCCTCAAGGTTCACCGAAATCCTTCAGGTTGGGACGACCCTTGTGACAGTTTTTAATTTTTGTGACAAATTTGATTGCTTTTCCTAAATGGGTCTTAATTGTGTTGAGTTGGGGCTTGGGGTGGAAACTATGTTGGGTTTATTTTTTAGTATTATTTCATCTTGTGGTTTTTGAGTTCTTACTTGCTTAGCACCTTGCATAGTAGGTGTTTGATATGTGGACGAACATCGAGAAATCGCGGATTAGTGAGTTCAACTATAACAAGATCATAGGCTTGTTATGTGAAGAAGGAATGATGGAAGACGCGTTATCTGCATTGCAGGAGATGAAAGTTCAAGGTCTCAAGCCTTCGTTGGACACTTACAATCCAATAGTTCATGGACTATCCAGAGAAGGTAAATTCAGTGATGCTTTGCGTTTTTTTGATGAGATGAAAGAATCTGGCATAGAACCGGATAGTGAAACCTATGATGGTTTGATTGGAGCCTATGGGAAATTTCAAATGTACGATGAGATGGGCGAGTGTGTGAAAAAGATGGAGTTAGAAGGGTGCTCTCCCGATCATATCACTTATAATATACTTATCCAAGAGTATGCTCGTGGGGGGCTACTCCAGAGAATGGAAAAGCTGTATCAGAGAATGCATTCAAAAAGAATGCATTTGCAATCTTCTACTCTAGTTGTAATGCTGGAGGCTTATACCACATTTGGGATGGTTGAAAAGATGGAAAAGTTTTACAGAAAAGTCTTGTACTCAAAGACGTGTCTAGAGGATGAATTGATTAGAAAAATAGCTGAAGTTTATATCAAGAACTACATGTTTTCTAGATTAGAGGACCTGGGACTGGATTTATGTTCCGCATTTGGTGAGAGTGACCTTGTATGGTGTCTCCGTGTACTTTCTTATGCATGCGTTTTGAGTAAAAAGGGTATGGATATAGTTGTTCAAGAAATGCGAGATGCCAAGGTTAATTGGAATGTTACCGTTGCAAATATTATCATGTTGGCTTATGTGAAGATGAAAGATTTCAGGCATTTGAGAATTTTGCTCTCTCAATTGCCGATCTATCGGGTGCAGCCTGATATAGTCACTATTGGAATTCTATTTGATGCCAATAGAATTGGTTTTGATGGCAGTGGAGCGTTAGAAACGTGGAGAAGAATGGGCTATCTACACAGAGTAGTAGAAATGAAGACAGATTCTCTGGTCCTTTCTGCATTTGGGAAAGGTCATTTTCTTAAAAGCTGTGTAGAAGTGTACTCTTCCCTTCACCCTGAAGACAGAAAAAGGGAAACATGGACTTACTATGATCTCATTGCTTTATTGACAAAGCATACTGGTAGCATCGACTGTATAAAACCAAGATAGTTAACCCATCTTTACTTTTATGCAAGTAAAATGTAAAAAAAAAAAAAAAATTGACTCACTGTCCAGCTTTTATTGTTAAGTTGGGATGATGAAAAAAAATATTAAAATGCTACTCTGGCAGACTGGAGACACTTTCAATTTTGAAACAAGTTTAGTTTATGTACATTATCACAATAATATATTTTTACACAGTCATCCAATAAGATTTAATCATTTTACTGCATCATCCTACCCATTAATATAACATGTCGATCAGAAAAATAATTCTGATAGACATCTGTATAAAAATATTTTATACCAACAGTATATATAAGTTGAACTCTTTCGAAATGATGTCTTTTTTAATGGGGTTGGGAATGCATGGCTAACGAAGATGCATCATTCACTATATGATTGGTGAGGAATTCCTAGGTTAGTGAGAAATGTCTAATCACAGTAATTATGAGAATGTGCAGGGAATAAAGTTTTGTATTACTTTAATGTGAGTTTTTTCTTCATGTTGATTTCTTGTGCACTTTTGCGTATACAGATTAGTGTTATGTGTTGGGAGTGAGTACAACTATTATATGCGACATGTATGGTTTTACATTCTATTTATTATTTTTCTTTTTTTTTTTTTGTAATTTTGAGTTGTATATCGGAATATAGTTGCAATTTTGTTTATACTTAATATTTTTTTAAATTGTTTACGTTGCATTCGACATTACTATACCATGTTTTACATTAAATTATGTGCTAAACTAATAATTTTTGTTGTGAGGTCTATATATCTTTTCCTTTTTTATATCATTTTTACAATGATGATAAGATTCAAATTTAAGACATCACATGGGATTCTTCTAAAGTGCTATTTGTTTCGGCTGGTAGATGTCTGTGGCATTTAAAATTTTTAATTACGGGGATCACTATATTTTCATCATCATGCAAATTTTTTTACTTGCCTCTCGGCAGGCTTATTTACCTACCTTAAACAACGTCCCTTACCTCTCAGTCCCGTCTCGCTCACTTGTCAAATTTCCTTACTTAATACTGCCAAAAAAATAATAATAAATTTCATCATGCAAACTTTTTTTTATTATTCATAATAATCAAATTTGGTGGTAAGTAGATTACGACATTTATGCACTTTATTTAACCAATTGAACTATCTCATTGGTATATAACAAAAATTTAATCCGAATAATATACATATATGATTAACTTAAATTTTTAAAAATTTTAATTTTCAGTCAAATAATTTTTCTTTCCTCATAATCCCTATCTTTGTCCCGAAGAATGACGACAGAAAGGATGTATTTTAGTTGTTTTATGGAAGACTATCTGCGTTTACATAATCATTCTTTTATTTCGTTGAATTCAAGATATACCTGCCATTATCGTTAGATGCCGGATCCAAGCCTCCAATGGATTAGATAAACACGAAAGCTACCTACAACTATCACCATCTACAGTCAATGTACTGAAAAACAGCTCTATTTCTTCTAAGAGCTTCTTACTGTCCGTATGAAACCCCCAGGAACCCGTATTTATGTACGCATCTGATGTCATTAAATCAATGAGATACTCACAAATGTCCCCCATATCATACGATGCGCTGAGGACTTTCTTTATCGGCTCATTTGGAAGACCCTCTTGAGCATTGTTAGAGTACACACGCTTCCTGCATTCCTGTAAATAACAGAAATGGCATAATTATGTGATATATATTATTTAAATAACCCTATTTTATTATTATTTCTTTTCATATTCCAACTTTTTTATATCCATTTTACACTTCTCTCTCTTCCTTTGTATCCCATAACCAATCATATTTGCAACATTTTCTCTCTTTCCTTTCCATCTCCCCTCCCAAGTCCCAATTGTATACACGCGAGTGTAAAAAAAAATATAAAAAATCATCTTTCTTATTTAAATGTGTTCGCATTCTTCATGAGTTTCTTTTGCTGATCCAATCACCGTTTGTTAGTATCAATAGACCTTATAGATTGGATACTCATGAAAGAATCTTTGTACGTGCTTTACAAATATAAACAAAATATGACACGTATGGTGTAATCATGGATAAAGCATAAATTAATTAAGGAAACCTAATAGAAGACTAGGAAGGAGTTACCTGGAGCATTTGATTTATAGTTGCAATTTGCTCTGTACTTAAGAAGTTAGATTTCAGTAGTTCTCGAAATAAAATCAAAATCTCCGAGCTCAAGTCACTAGCAGTAAGGTTCTCCAGCATGCCAGATATGCTTGAATTATCAAACACAGATCTCATCCACTGTGGGCTTTTACGCAGTTTCAACAACGCAATAGCTATAAGTACTGCAGGCCTTTGACTGTTCAAGAATGATTGTGATGCTAAAGCAGGAGCTGCCAAAGATACAGTCATCTCCTCTATAATCAATCTACACCAGCTACTCTCATCTAATAGATTTGTTTCCTTTCTCAGCTTTTCCCATCCCAGTAGCATTGTCAAGCAGAGGGAGCAATTTGTTGCCACTCTCAGATCATTATAGAAAACCAAACCTTCCAATATACTCCTTGTGGACATTAAGTACCCAATAGTACATTTCAACTCTTCATTATTACTGTTTATTTGGTCTGATATTCTGTTAAATAACTCTAACAGGCTATACGAAGCAACAATCTTGATTACAGGAGAACCAAAATGCAGAAGTCTGCACAGGTCATGGCAACGGATGCCAATGAAGGCTAGCGGCTCCGATGGATTCGTTGAAACAAGGAAGTTTTGCCAATCCACAAACTCTGGTAGGATAGCATGCAAGCTATAATCCAAAATTTAGGATTGACAACTCAGTTTTTTAAATATTTCGAAAAGACATAAGGGTTGTAAAATATAATATTCTGAAGTTAATATACTACAATTAATTTGCCAGAAGAAGATTAACCGATAAAGTATACTTTTAGTATTTTATTACTGATGCGAACCGACATACCTTTTAACGGCGAAGTAATGAAGCAAAAGAACAAATATTAAAGTTTCTCCGGTGCTTGTTCCCTCATCGTGGTCAACCAAAGCAGGTCCCTTCGAAGAAGAAGCACAGACTACGGTGTTGACCATAGAGATTATACAAGTATTAAAAAGAATGGCCTTTGAAGTCTCTTCAAGTGCTTTAGTGGTGGAACGATGCAAAATTAAGGAAATAATGCCAATAACGAAGAGACTTTCTTCACTTAAGATATCAACCTTTTTGGATGGAATTGAATACTCCATCATCTGCAGAAGTGAATAACGTGGTATTAGAACAATCATTAACCTAGTTACTTTCTTTTCTAGTTATTTTCGGGTTTGGTCAGTTGGTTATAAAATTTTTGTAATATCAGAGCACAATATTTGCATTCCAGCTCATCATCTCTAACCATGGTTCTGTTGTAATCTACTTCCATTTGGTTCTTGTATTCATGTATCAATTTATTTCTCATATAGAGTGCGCTCAGCTTTGCCCAACATCTTGATGCTAACTATCATCCTTCGGGAAATTCAAACTTGAAAATTGGGAGAAATAACAACCATATTAACAGAACTCGACAGTGTGCCATATCATCATTACAGTCTTACAGATAAAGATTATGCATGGAGGGGTTACGGATTATACTGGATCTGATTATACCCAGGAGTAAAGTGAAACAATTAGAAAATCCAGGGTGTACTCTAACCAAATAAAAAATAGAGGCCCGTAGGCCACTCTAAGAGGAAAATGAGACCTAAAAATAGGAATTTTTAATCATGATAATGATTGAATTTTAAGGGATGCAATGTGCATAAATAAAAGTTAAGCTACTCTCACCTTCATAGTTACTGCAACCCAAATTTGATCGGCAGATAGTGTTTCAGGATGCACTGAACCCAAAGTGTTAAAAACCAAAATTAAGATGCACGTATAAGTTGTTTTCGAGAAGGTATTACTCAAATGACACCAAGTCCTGATTGTTTTCGCTATTCCATGCAAAGATAATTGTTCACAAGCAGCTGGACAGACATGAACCATAGTTGCCATGACATTCAGAACACATATTATGTCATGTTCCTGGCCTTCTTCCTCCAAGAGATGTGCTAATAAGCACACGAAAAGTCTAGCTCCGTAGTTATCTTCAGTTGATACCAACTCTGCAAGTGTCTGTACATTTATAGTTTGATTATTGTTTCCAATAACTATGTCAGCCTCTTCTAAGTTATAGCTTCTGCAGAATTTCAAAATCTGGTGGCATAATGAATTGACTATGTTCTCTTGTTGAAACAACCACTTCAATGATACCTTGTGAATTCTTGCGGAAAGTAAATCCCATTCATCATTATTTATGAACTGGAATATTATCTCCTCCGCTTCTCGACTGTAGTGAATTTGGTAACTCATATTGCCAAGACCCCTTAATAAACTGTAAAGATTTACCAGTCGTGTCACGATCAAATTATTAGTGGTCTGATTAAGAAAATCGACCCTATTAAGAAGAATATATTGTTCAAGAGAAGCTAAAATCAACTTCTCATCTGCAAGTCTGGCAATGAAAGTCAGAGAAATGTTAGGCAAAACAGATGTCGAAGAATTGCCAATCAGGGGAATAGGAGTACGAAGTTTTGGCAGTTCAAGTACCTTTCATCATATAGTGAACTGGAGTACATGATTAGCAAAACAGCGTATTGACAAGAAGGCAAATCCAAACTGTTAGTACTCCTTTGCCCGAGCAAAAAGAGTAAATCAATAGGATCGCGGGGCAGGTGTAAAGCAGCCTCTCTAATTGGTTGTCCAGAATCATCTTGTAGGAGAGAATCCATGAGTGAACTAAGCAATAAATATATTCTATTTTTCATGCTATCTCCTGTAAACAAACCCAAACATTCATATGAAAAACTGAACCAACCGGATGAAATCAGAGTCTCTGCAAATTCCGTGGTATTAGTACTAGAGTGCAGAAGCAGTATCGAATGAAAAGTTTCCAGCAAACCCAGGGCAATGTCCTCTTCCATTTCATTGATGCCCAATACAAGCCATGGCAGTAAATGAGATCTGCATAAATCTAGAATACCGCTTCTGAGTTCTAGTTTACTAGAGTTAATGGAGTTTCCATCATGACTGTATGCATATGCCTCTTTAAGTAGGTACAAACATTGCAAAATTTGGTTGATATTCCTTTCAGAGACAGAGAGACAAGCTAAAATGGCATGTGTCGTTGCTTCCTCAATTGGTTTTGACAGATCTAAAGCTCCATTACAAGATGGAGATCTTATAAGAGCCACAAAGACAGAGCAGACCATTATAAACGTCTCAGGAATCATACCCATGTCCCCATCAGAATGTTTTCTAAGCATTCTTATCAAAACCTGAATCAGTTCCTCTAGTTGAGAAGTTGATACAGATCCGGGGCACCCAGAAATGCATTCATAAATGAGCTTCAGCGTCTCACATTGGACAGGGTGAAAAGGAACTTCAGCCACATAACGTAATGCTGGAATCAGAGTTGAAATTCCAACAACGAGTCTTAGTTTAAAGGTTTCCTCAGCAGTTGATAAATGACCTAGTACCTGAAGGCACATCTTGACTGCTGGATCCTTATACTCTGTTCATTAATAGAATAATTAGTAAGCCACCAAGGTATAACAGTAAGGGTAAAATTAAGTTCTGCATTTACAGGCATATAATGGAAAAAGATGATCTAACCTATATTAGATTTAGGATAGAGCAAACTAGATCCAGATAACCATTAATTTCACTCAATCACAAATGAGTATAAATTAGGGAAAATGCTTTTACGAGGATATAATGAAGGCAAACTATTCAATACATATACATCAATATCTTTTTCAACTAGGCCCATACTTATTGGCATACAAACAAGGTTCTATATCATTAAAACAAAAGGAGAAATAAGAGTTTATAAAGTATATACATACTCCATTGGTTAAAGGTCTTTTGAGTAATGACTAAAAGAAAAGTCATGAGAGTAAAAGTTCAAAGTGAACAATATCTTACTATTATAGAGTTGTGTTTGCAATAACCCGACAAGATTTAACCCTTCTCTTGATAAAAATATTCTCTCTAACAAATATCATAACATAACCGTAAGTGTGTTTGGCAATTTCTGAACAAAGTTCTCACCTGACAATCTCAATATTTCAAATAAATAATCTGCAATATTTTCTTCCACCAAGACTCTAATCTGATAGCCTGAAGTGCTGACTGAAGACAAATAATGAAAAAGTAAATCTAGAGCGCCGATTTGTACTTTACTGTCTGACGAAAGTAATGGGCCTTTGATGGCTTCAGCAAACAGATTTACCAGGGATGTGCCCTTGGTTCCTTCTTCGGTTTCTTTAGAATTAAATCCTTCATAGGAAGACATGTTACTAGTATCATATGCACATTCTTCCCTGAGCAAATGTCTTCGAGCAAGCATAGTCAAAAGTGCTAATCAACGAAATGGGAAGTGTCAGTCAAGAGACAATAATGAAAGTTATGCTGTAAACTATGGCATCTTATTATTACTGAAATCTATTTTGTAGACTATGCCCACACTGACTTCTAACCGGCCTTGGAATGATTAACATCAATTAGTCTTTCATTAAGCCAGCAACTTTGGTGATTAGGACATAGGCTATGGATGCAAACTCTCGGAGAGAAAGATACTAGCAGGAAATCGCCCTTCCCATTGAAATTCATTATATAAAATGGTCATCAGATGTGATGCATGGCATGGCGACGTTCTTGTCTTCATATTGTCAACATGTAACCACCCCTTTGCCTCCTAAAAATAAAAATCTAATGTTTTATACCATCTTTCTTTGTACCTATGAGTAATTGAATAATCATGAGACAAAGAGTATGTTTGGATACAAGTCTATAAGAGTTGTTAAGAATTTTTCTATTAAAAAATACTCTTTATTTATAATAGAGAAATTCTCAAAAATCCTTTTAACTTGTATTCAAATATGCTCAAATAACAAATCTCTTTCGGAGATAGCATCCTAATGTCATCCCCGTCCAAAATGGGCTTCACGTTAGGTAACAAGTTAAAACAAACAAGACACAAAAAAAAAAAAAAATTCAAGTTTTCTTTCCAAGGAACTAAAATACTTGGAACTTGATAACGGACCGATACAATTCAAGCGAACATCATCATTTTGAGTCTTCATGAGAACATCGACCAACAGGTACAAGATCTGAGGACAAAAGGGAATCAACATATCACTTCCATCTCCCTCTGCTGATGTACTCTGAAGAACAGATAATTTGTAAAGGACAAAGAGAACCTCCCCTCGAATCTCCTCACTGCACCAAGCGAGTCAAGGTCTTAACACGTGAAATAAATTTGAAAGTCAACAGTACAGCATCCAATACATATTAACAATACCTCGGCAAATGAAGCCCCGTAACAAGAACAGAAATGAGGCTACACATATCTTTTATGTGTGCATGGAGATCATTATCCTTCTCACAATTCAGAAGAGCCCCAAGGCAGTGAAGCTGTACATTCAGAACAATAGAAACAGTCCACGAATTCTTCCATAAAACGAGTTTAATTTCCATGCATCTTCAATGTAAAGATTTTAAACTTTTGTCTAATTGGAAAACATCTTAGGTATAACTTTTTCAGCAGTTGTTACAAAAGTCGATAATCTTAATATACATAACAGTCTATCATTAAATAATAGTTCAAAAAACGCTTACACTGTCAGTGTATTTTTTTTTATTTAAAAAATGCAAGAATTATAGTGACAATAACAAGAGTCAAACTTAAGACTCTGCGAAAATTCCTATCATCTACCATTAGGCTGACCATAATAGTTCTTCAATGTATATAAACAAAGAGTATTAAGTAGTATAAACATAATTAGTATGAAGCACGCACGAGTGGATGTGTTTGTATTTTATTGGATAAATTTAAATAAAAAACATAAAATAAAAGTGAATTTGGCAGAAATCATGCAATAAGTTATTCATCAATGTAAAATATTCGTACCATCAAACATTTAAATAATTATTGTGCCGTATTTATTCGTACCATCAAATATTCTAAAATTCTAAAATTAAACTATTCATCAATGTAAACATTAAAAATCTTTATATCGTAAGTGCGTCGAAATTAAACTCTTCAAATAATATTAACATTTGTATTTCGTTGTACATCTGGAGTCCCTACAAATCCTCATACTATTACGAAAAGTTGTGTAGATTTCACGTTCTGTATTATCAATGTCAATCTACTCAGAGTCAGAGAAGTTGAGCATGAAAACCTAGAGATGAGGTGAAAATTGGAAAGCGAAAGGGAAATGGAAATTACCATGTGCAACTGAGGGGAAGTCCATCCGAGAGCACCAGAAGAAACGCGATCGGAAACCCTAGCGACGAATTCGCGGCAAACGGAAGGATCGGCGGACGCGGAGAGGGCGAGGACGAGGTGAGTGAGCTGAGCGGCGATAGGTTCGTCGTGGAAGGAGGAGAGGGCGGCGACGAGAGGCGAAACGAGGAAGTGCGGGTGGAATTTGAGGAGCGATTGAAGGAAGAGAGGTATGGAGAGGGATCGAGAGAGCATGGAGAGAGCGTAGGAGACATGGACGGTGGGGGAGAGGGGGTTGGAGAGGAGGTTGGAGAAGCACACGAGGCAGATTGAAGCGCCCTCGTGCGTTTGCAGGTTCAAAGAAGATCGATGGCCTTGAGAGCATGAAAACCCATCGTCGTCAACGTCATCCACGTCGCTGCACCAGTACATTCTCTTCTCTGACCTCGCGAGAGTGATGCTGCTTTGGAGTTTTGGCGCCAAACTGATTTTTAAATTGTTCAGGTAGTTACTCTCGTTCTGTTGAGCTACTGTACAGTAAGAATAATTGGGCCTGTGGATGGGCCCATGTTTTGCAAAGTCCCTATTGGCACCCCAAATTGCTCTTATATTAGAAAAAAAATTAAAGAAAACTAACTTGTAGCAACTAATTTTATTAGCATGTGTAATTTTGTTACAAATGTCTTCTATTAGACACATAAAGTAATTTATTATCATAATTACCCTTCTAATATGTAAACTATACCTATATCTCTTTTTTGCACAGTTCTATTCACATCACAATTCTATGCTATATATGTAAATCAACCCCCCTCCCTCCACCGGTCAACAAGGCCATATTGATTCATTGCATTTTATCAAAAGCTAAACTTTTCTATAATGGAAAACACCTTTTTCTATTAAATGCCTCCTAACTCTACTGTTTTTAGCTCTCTTAATTTTCCGGGAGAGTATATATCACTAAACTCCTTCAAGATGAAAAAATAAAAGGAAAAAAATGGCAAGCGTATTTAATGAATTAAGACAGACCATATATAATCCATATTAACCTTTGCACCAAAGGTGTGTTTAGTCCTCCTAGCTTCCAGTTTAACAATCACGTTTTGGTCCATCAAACTTGTTTGCTATAAGTCCATTAAATAAATTACTCGATTTAAAATTTATAGTGTGTTTGGATGAAAATTCTAAATTGAGCAATTCATCAAACTTATTTGCTATAAGTCCATTATTTCCTTTTTTAACGTGATGCCTTATCATGCGTGCATTACCGTTTCTTCCCTTTCATTACTAATCAATCCCAACTCATGTTGTTCCTGCGTAGAAACACTCCTCTTGTCGTTGCTCCTTCATGATCTTCTAAATCTTTGGTGCCGACCGAATACTACCTTCAAGAGGTGGGAGGGTACCTGCAAAGGCACTCCGACGATCAAGTAAGTGTTTGGTATAGAGCAATAAATACTTTTATACTGGATAAAGCGTACCTCCTTTATGTCCCATCACCTGTGTATTTATAGTGACATATTTGGACCTGGTGGGCCTTCTGTCTTGGGAGATGGGTAATATACCTTGGTCAACCTTAATCTCTCTTAATTAGGTGCAATAATCATTATGTAATGAGAAACTTATCTCACCTCTGTTCCACGTGGGTCAACGTGTGCTCGGCCAAGCTTTTGGCCGAAGGGGGGTGTTCGGTTGGTTGTATGACTGAGGAGGTACTCGGTCTTCCCTTAAGTCGTGGCGATGGTTCGGTTAAGCCCAAAGGCCGAAGGGGTCTTTGATTAATGCTGAAGCCGAAGGGGTCTTCGGCCAAGGTCGAAGCCGAAGGGGTCTTTGGCCTGGGTCGAAGCTGAAGAGGTCTTCGGTCAAGGTCGAAGCCGAAGGAGTCTTCGGCCAAGGTCAAAGCCGAAGGAGTCTTTGGCCAAGGTCGAAGCTGAAGAGGTCTTCGATCAAGGTCAAAGTCGAAGGGGTCTTTGGCCAAGGTCGAAGCCGAAGGGGTCTTCGGCCAAGGTCAAAGCCGAAGGGAGGAGGGGTTTGAACATTTTCCCCTAGTGCTGCCTAGTGTTAAAATAAGGCCTAGGTCGAAGGGGCCTCTTGCTCGGCCAAGGGGAGATAGTCACCCCTGTCGGTTGTTGTCTTGGCCGAAGGGATGTTTTGGTGAGGAGTCGCCGGTTTGAGGTGCTTCTCTTGGCCTTGCTAGGTTGAGGATACATTCCGGCCTAGGGTCCGACCCAAAGGGGGTGTTTACTAGTACACATGCAGATTTGAATCCACATGAATTCTTTTGCATTCTTAATGGGACTAATAACTGAATAACAATTACGCCATTAATGTTTGGCTTTCCCTCCTCACCAGCTCCTCCACGAATACTTTCATGCATTATATAAAGTTGGCATGCAATTACGAACTAAATGAACATAACATCCGCATAAAAAACATGTGATATGAAACCATCCTTTTGCAACCTTCGAAGTATCAGTGTCAACCCTTAACCACTTTCCAACATCAGAGGCCATGGCTAACAAAAAGCTTTCATCATAACTAACGAGGTTAATAGCGTGTTTGTTTTCACGTTGAATGAAACTGAACGGTAATCCATCTCTTTCCTTACTTCTACTTTTCTACTTTGGAAAGTGTAAAAAACCCGTTAAATAATATTTAAGCGGTAAAACAAACACGTTATAAGAACATGAAACTTAATCCAGACCGTGTTCTTTTTATATCCAAATCTCTAATTATTATTTGTCGAGTGAACTCTTGGTTTACGGTTTTACAGAAAAGGTAGTATATATAGGAAATTTTGAAATGTTATAATAATTAGATAAACAAGTTTTGAGATTAAATGGAATGGATTAAGTAAAGATAATAATAAAAAGGATAAGTTAAGTTCTTAAAATGTTATATACAATTATTAATATCATTTAAACTATTTAAAATTTGACTTTTTTATTTTGATTTTGAAATTTGTAAAAATAAGGACAAATTTCAAGTAATTTGAATAGATATAACATGAGTATGCCTGTGGAAAATTATTTATAAGAATAAATTACAACAGTTTGGAGTTAGCTAATCTCTCTTCCCTTTGAATTAATTTCACATAACTTAAAGACAATAAAAATTGTATAAAAAGTATAATATATATATATATATATATATATATATATATATATATGATTTTTTTTATAATAATTGTGTATCTTATATTAAACAAAATATATATAAAATTGTTAATAAAATATAAGTTTATTAAAATAATATAATACTTCCAAA